AGAAGCAGGTAGGGGTAGGACAATGACCAAAGAATATATTCGGGAAGAGAAGTCGGTGATCCCGCTCGATTGAAACGCAAGCCGAATAAATTGGCCGGACGACGATGCGGACTTGACCATCGCAAAAATTGCTTCCTGTTAGGGGATCTTTTATCCTCGGTGAATTGGATGATTTATAAGGAGATCTTTTAATAACCATTCGACCGTAGAACCGTAGAACCAGCCGAATAATACATGAAACGAAACAATTGTTTGTTGAATTATAAGCAAGTTTGATTTAACAGCTGAGTTACCAGAGTGATCGATATGATTAATTCATACTTCGTCTGGTAGGAATTTTATTGAATTCTGATTCATTGTAAAGTTATTTCCTTACATTACGATTCTTGAGTTTAGTCGATGTCTTTTATGGATTATGGTGAAAAGTTGAAGAGAATTTTCTTTTCCAGTCTCGTTTAATTTTCTAGATTGAAATTTCTCTTGACCACGTCGTTCAGGTAGAATTCTACCAAATTTCTTCGACGAAGTGTTATTCCACGTATTTTGGATCACAGAGTCTGACTCTACGGGGCGAAATCTGCTTCTTTTTTTTTTTCTTAAGGACGTTATTTTCACAACGCATCGATTCGTAAAACGATATGTTTTCGGAGCAGCCTTAAACCTTTCTTCTAAGCGAACACGATACCTGTTTCGTGTCAGAACTTAATATTTAATAAACCTCTCGGATGTTGCCGAGACTAACGTTTCGCGTGATCGATATCGAGGCGGTATCGATGGCTATTCGCGTAGAAACATAATCTAAGAAACTACGATCGACGCGCAGTGAAATCGGCTAGAATGGTCCGTATCGCGTGTTCTGGCATTATTCATAGCGATCATGACGATCTATCGAGAAAGTTCCTCCCTGTACGCAAGATATGCGTACACCTCGATACAATGCCTCTTTCACTGCAACAATTTCAGGCTGGAAAGCGTCAGCCATTCGCGCGCAGACGAGCATTTTTAATTGGCCTTCTGTTATATAATTCGCCGCAAGTCGTTATAAAGATAATGAGTTTCATTCAGCTACACGAGCAGACATACTTTCGTTACGAAAGTGTAGCCGGCGTTGATCCCGCGAAAAATATTGCAGCGTTTTTACGCTCGTTTCAAAACTTGCTCCTTGCGCAATTTTTCGATGCTCGTAAAGAGAGAAGATCGTTATTGCCGTAGTTTTGAAACCAGTTGTGAACATTCCTATGGTTCTTTTATTATACGCCGGTTCATGAAAATACTTGAACTGAATTGAGTGATAAAAAAAGAGAGAGAGAGAGAAAAAAAAAGAAACCTACAACGGCTGACGCAATTTGAAATTATTCTGAAAATGTGTGTTACTCACTGCAAAATATACGTATAAATAAGTCTGAAGCATTGATATTTGAGACATGAGCTGATCACGAATATTGTTCTGAAAATATAGGGACGAACATCTGATCATCTGAACCATAGTTTAACTAAAAGCCAGTCTCTCAGATAATCTCCGAGGATCACTTCAAACAAACTTCAACCTCAATAAAGTCCATTTATCACTCGCAATATTCCCAAGGATTCATTCGCTCGAAGCTCCGTTTAGAGTATCGTAAATAACGAAAAACCTGCGAGAGTTTTTCCCGGCAAATCGAAAGGGGGTTTTCAAGGGAGACTGGCAGACTAGACTAGTGCTCTTGTTCGTGCAGCCAGAGAGAAGGAGAGAGAGAGAGAGAGAGACTGGCTTCTCTCGCCAAGTGGTCTCTCTGGATGACATCGGTCGGTGGCCGTATTATCGTAACGGTTTTCAGGTAGATTTTCTGAGAAGTGTGCTTTAAGGAAAGGCCAGTTGATCCACGAGGAAGAACTGGACCTTGGATAGTGGACGCGTCGAGTAGGGTGACATTCCAGAATAGGCCGACGAGGTTCGCGTCGCGAAATGCAGGTTATACACGCCTCTATGCAACTACTCTAAGGACGGGTTCTCGGCGAGTGTTCCTCGAAACGCGTGCGACCGGACCGCAGGCCAGAAATTCTCATGCGATCGTGTTCAGTCGATAAAAATTTCCTCTGCTCGTGGATAATTGATCGTGCCGTGAGAAAGACGCTCGCTATACAATTCTGGATTCGTATTTGCTCGGACATGATACCGTGGACCACGGTTTTATCGATACTCAACGACACTGCCTTGCAATTCTGTTGTCACGTATCTAGTTTCATTCTTTGTTGTCAGGATATTGTGAATGCTGTCATTTTAGAAACTTAGCTCCTACTTTTTACTTTACTATGGTAAATTTATATGACGTACGGTCAAGATCAAATTAAATACGATATAAATTTCATGCATCAGCATGTAATGTTACTGTACGTATTATTTGTACATACGTAATTCAATTATTAGTCTTGTTTTATTTGTTATTTTTTACTTTGCTATGATAAATTCTACCGTGGTAAATTTATATGATGAATAATACTATATATAGTCAAGATAATTTTGAACACGATATAAATTTCACTGTAATAGTAGTAATCAACGTACAGAGTTGAAAGCACGTAGGTATTTTTTTTTTTTTTTATATGTGGTCTCAGAAATACCATAGTAATTAGATGATGAATATGGATGGATTTCCAAGCAGTCGATTAATGCAATGCACTCGGAGTTCATTGCGGTATCACCAATGAAAATCCACCGTTTCAGCTCGCTCGTTATTTTCGAGCCAGATCTCGATAGGTTGTTCCTCAGAAGCAATAATTCCTGCGAAAAAAATTGCAGAAACCGATATTACCGATTTTACTGCAATTCCCTGGGAAACTATCGTCAAGTCGAACGTTAAGTGGAAAGCGGACGTATTTCTCAATTCTAGAATGATATAATTCCTTTTTTTCACTGTTACAATAATTTCACCCAAATCCAATGATTTCGATTTTGCAATTTGGTAAATAAAAATTACTTGCTCTTTAGGGAGCCCAACTAATCCCAGTTGGTGAAAATTTGCAATCACTTTAATCGCGAGAAACACGTATGGTGTCATCGATCGATACCATACGTTGCGATCTCTTCGTCATCCATCGCGATCGGTCGCATCGTTGGGAAATCCTCGGCGAGTTTCTCTCATCTGAGGCAGAAGGGAAAGGACGATTGAATTCGCTGTATGGCGAGTGACGTTGCCCCGTTGTCGTTCGTTCTATTTCGTTCTGGTCGTAAAAGGCTCGCGGGATATCCTTGGACACA